GTTTCTTTTGAAGTAAAATCCCTGGAGATAGGATTATTACCCGTAACAACTTAGAAATACATTAAAAAACAGTTCTACAGAAAGGGAAATGAACAAGGCTATCTAAGTCTGGTTCATGTGTTTGTGAGTTGTTTCAGAGAAAGAACTTTGATGTGTTTCCTACACATTGGCAAGAGGGAGTGAAAGGGAGTAAGAGGTTCTATTAGGAAAACAGTGATATGGTTCTAGTCTAGAATTTCCTCCTGATTCCACCAGCATCAGGGAAGTGGTTAAAAGTGACCTTTTCTTGTCCTTTGCCTTTTTCTCTAAGAAAGAACATGAAATTATCATGAGATTTGCACTCCTAATTACATTTGAAGCTTTTGACATTGCCAAACACTCTTCCAGTTTCATGTGATTCTTTCCTACTAAACTTTTATCTAAGTAAGCCTCCTTGGAACTTGATACACTCTGAGCTATTTCAAAAGGATCCTCAGTTCAATCTCATGATGTGACTCCTTTCTCAGGCTCTGCACAGTTTAGGGCTCAAGGTTTGCTTTATTCTTCCTAAACATAGATTATAATCAGCCTCTTCAGATAGCTGACAAGTCCATGAGCTCTTGCAGGTGACCCAACCCAGAAAGCTGGAAACTCAAGAACTGATTAGATAATGTTTATCTTTGCATATTGAGCTAGGCCTACATGATTAAGATCCAGAAATTCAGCAGGGTGCTACTGAAAGTCTAAACTATATATAGCTAGCTAATGGTTAGTTCAAACTATATAAGACTAGATAAAACAGGCTTTCAGGAATTGGCTTAAAAATAAAAATTCCTCTTCTAGAATATAGAAAGACTTTTTTTCCTCTCTTGCATGTGACTATTACATGGCTGCAAGAGATCTAGATTTTGAAGAATGCATTTACTCATACTTAAGAATTTAAGGCCTTCTTTAATCACAAAGGATTGCTTATATGTCAAGATAATTAGATCAAAAGCATACACCCACCCAAATATGTGGTCTTTTAATAACTTCACAAAGGGAAAATGTTCAGTGTGAGTCTACTACCAGCTATTTGCTCTATTTGTTGTCCTCTAATTTGTTTTATCTTGCTGCGTGCTTTCTGGAAAGAATGAATTATCAATATCCATGCCTTGAATATGTCTATCTCCATCATCTAGTGTAGTGCTCAATCCATTGTGAATAAATGACAATATATTTCTGAAAAATCTCTAGTAGAAGACCATTTTAGAAATATATTATAGCTAGTCCCTTTCCACTTGCCATATTGTACACCACTATTAATAAAGATTTAAGGATTAAAGTCCATAGTTTACAGTAGCATTCACTCTGTTATACATTCAATGGATTTTGACAAATGTATCCACCATAACAGTGTCTGCAGAACACATTAATAGTGGCACATCTATTGTAACAAATGTCCCATATTAATGCAAGATATTATAATAGGGGAAATTGTGTGTGGAAGGGGCTATATGGGAACTGTTTTCTTTATACTGAAATTTTCTGTAATCCTATAACTACTTTAAAAAGTAAAGTCTATTATTTTCTTAAAAAAATAAAGATTTAAGGAATTTTTATTTTTTCTACCATAAAAGAAACCCACAAGTACAACTTTATAACCATTTTTAATATACAAGTATATAAATAATTGTTATAATTTAAAAAATTAATTTAGCATTGGTCTTTCTTTTTCAAAATACAATACTGTTATAGTATTTCTTGATTATTAAACTTTTTTCTTTTTTAATTGACAAAATGAGCAAAAATCCCATAGGCAAATGGAAGAGAAATCCATAAATAAATACAAATATAAATTGTGCACTTAATACATGATAAAGTTTACATTTCAAATCAGTGGAAAAGGAAACCACATTTAATAAATGATTCTGGCATAACTAGCTTTCCTCTGAAAGAATACAAAGCTAGTCTCTTTGTGTTAATCATATACAAAAATAAATATAAAGTAAGAGATTTATAAAAAATATATACAAATAAATTTCAAATGCATTAAACTTACTAAACAATTAAAACATGAGAACATTGCGATTATTTGGGTAACTTTGAGGGTGAAGGAATATTTGCTTGGCAAAATGAGAAACCTAAATGACAAAGAAAAAGACTGCCAGATTTGACCACATAGAAATTTACAAATTTCCACATGGCCAAAGATACCATAAAAAGTATCAAAACATTAGTATGAGGCTGCCAGAAAATATTAGTTCCACAATATGACAAGGGGTTCATTTCCATATTTTACAAATAGTCCCTACAAATTGACGAAAAAGACAATCAAATAGAAAAGGGACAAGGGATATAAAAGGCAGACACTGAGGAGGAAATTAAAATTTTTAGCAAAATTGAGAGGGAAACATCCAGTAGCGGTGGAAATAGGCACTTTTTGTACAAAGATATTGGGAGTGTGAATTTATTAAACATCTGAAAAGTAACCCAGGGTGTAGTAGATCATGTACAAATATAGCCACTATTGATTCCTCCCCTTGTGGTAAATGTTGCTTGGCTTTGAACCTTATTTTTTACCAAGAATGTGGCAGAAGTGACACCATACCTGTTCCTGACCTAGCCTTTAAAAAGACTGGCACCTTCTATTTTTTCCTTGTTTGAAGCCAGCTTTTCTGAAAGGGGTCTGACTATCCTGAGACCATAAGGTTGTGAGCAACCCAAACTACCCAAGTGTTTCGAGAGAGACAGTTGTGGAGGAGTACCGAGGCACCAGACATGTGAGTGAAGCTTCTTGGATTAAGCAGTCTAGCACATTTGCCAGCTGAATGAAGCTAAGTGAGGGAGCCCAGCCAAAGCCATGTAAGACAGAAGAACCACCCAGCAGAACCCTTCCTGATTTCCTGGGCACGAATTGTGAGAAATAATAAATCATTTTTTTAAGCCATTAAGTTTTAGGGTAGTTTGTCACACAGTAATATATAACCAAAGCACAGGAGTATCTATTAAAGTAAAACAAACAAAATCATTCTTTTGGACCCACTTAATAGATTTTGTTACATCCATATCATGGAATATTGATATCATTAAAATAATTATTTGATCTCTAGAGAGAAGTTCATGATATACTCTTAAATAAAATGCAAGTTGCAAAATAATATGTACACAATTTCATTTTAAAAGATTAAAACATATATGAATAAATGCTCATTTATGTTTTTATGAGCTTAGTGAAAAATGTAGGTATTTGTGAAACTGTTAATATTGGCCTCCTGGAGGAGAAAGCATGGGGTGAGTTCTGGAGACAGAGGCTATGGGCCTTATTTTTGGATACTTGTGTTATTGGGTTGTTGCAAGAGGTGGAGAGTCCTTGTTGTTTTAAAGAAAAATCCAATAATATATTTAATAAAAAGAATCGAAGAACCAAACACACATTCGTTGTAAACAGAAAAAAATACTAAACTGTACAGAGGTATATAAACCAGAAAGGGAAATCATCAGGTAATCCTGAGGTTAAATCACTGAGGTTAAAATAACTCGCTTTATTTACTCAACTGTCTATCAAGGGCATCTTTCTATGTCAGTAAAAATAGATTTAGATGACCCTGTTTAATGGCTTCAGAATATTCTATTGTTTGGATATATTATAATTTACTTAATTCCTTATTATTAGAATTTACATTGTTTCTAGTTTTTTTGGTTGTAAAAATAATGGTTATCCTTGTATATACAACTTCACCCACTTGTCTTAGAAGTGCAATTATTGATATATATATTGCTACTATGCTTTCTACAAAGACTAGCAGTTTATATTCTCACTAACAGTTTATGACAGGAACCTAAAGAATTGTCTAAGGAGGTATCTGACTAACCATTTTTCATGAAAGCTGCAAAAAAGAATCTGCTAAATTAGCAATTGGCAAGGTTTTCATGTGGCTTTGCAAAGGGATGTGGGTAGAACTAGAGTTATTGTGCATTCCGACACCCAAATTCCTACTGACTTAACTGGGGTGGAAGAAGGGTCACAGGAGTTTAGCCTACAAGTGAGAAAATAAGGAAAACAAATCTTGGAGATTGAACAGTTAATAAACGGAAGCAGATTTTCTCCAGCTTCCCAGGCTGGATGACTTGCAGTGCCATCTTCTGGCAAAGAAACCAGGAAATTTTAATTTCCATGGTAGGAATAAAGTTTGTCTTATAAGCACAGCTAAAGCAGAGACTGGCAGGAGAACCCAGTCAAGGTCTTGGTGTTGATGTTTTGGAGAGGAGATGAGGGAGAAGGAAGCAGATTTCTCTGAAGCAAAAATCAGAATCATTTGACCTCTGAGGTCTCTGGCAAAATCTAGGGTCTCTCCACCAAACTACATACAACGCGTGTACAACAGGTACAATTTGGAGTTGTACCATTCTTCTTCAACCTCAAGAATGGCTTCTCCAGGATCTCGGGGTGAGGCAATTTAGCCGTGGGGCTATCCAGGACGACACCTGACTTGATTCCTTATTACAGGAAAATCTGTTTCTATCTTTGAAAGTCTGCAATGAAGAAAGGTACTTCTACGACCAATCCTTTAAATATGCCAGCAAGTAATCTACACACGTTAGATGTAAAGGTGTAGAAAACCACATTATACCTTAAAAAATTTTTTTTCAAGACTTAAAAATACCTTCTTGCTTTAATCCTTTAAAATATACTAGAAAAAGTCTTGTTTTTTTAAAGGAAAATAACTTTAAAAGTGTGGCATCCCTAAGTAAAAGCCCTCAAGTAAAAAAAAAATTATTTTATCTGTGTAGTATGTGTGGGACAAATTTATAATATGCTTTATTCCATATCAACTCATAGTAGTGAGTTCTCCGCCTTCCCTCTCTATGCCATATTCCTTCAAACTTCACACTTTTCTTTTCATCATACCGCCTCCCTCAACCTCTCTGAACTGCAGGGCTCTAGCCCCGCCCCCCGCCGCTTCTTCCGGTCTACCCCCGGTGCTTGCCGGTTTCCGCGCGCTGACGTCACACGCCAGCGCCAGTGACGCGCCGTTCGCTCCTCCTCCTGTGCTTGCTCCAGGGTTTAGCGCGCTGAGGTGGAGTTCTCATTCCTGGGTCCCAAACAGTTCTCCGCATAGCCCGGAATCTAAAACGGGCGCTGCGAGGCAGGAGGGCGTGGCAGGCAGGTAGCCTCCTAATCCCAAATGCCGCCCGCTTCCGGACCCTGCTAAAGTCACTAGCAACCACCTCTGAAGTTGGAGAGGCGGTAACCGAGGCACTCCCCCTGCGGTCGCCCGCCGTTTCCAAGAGACTCAGAAACCAGTTTGTTTCCTCCCGTTTGTGTGTACCTATCTTACGGGGCGTTGCCCGAGGCGGGACCCAGGCCAGCCTGAGCGGTCAGTCAAAGGCTGTTATCAGGTGTGGGAGTCTCACTGCCCCTGGGCTGTGGGCTGCTGGTTAGACAGACTTGGTTTCTCTTTCAGGATGTTATTTTCGAAATGCGGAATGATGCCTCTGCCTCATTAAGTTCCATAGGACGACTGCCACGCCATCATCACCGTTATTCCCTACTACCGTCCTGTGTCATTGAGGTGAGTTGCACTTGGGAGAATCAATGATATGCAAAATAGTAAAATCATTGGAAATGAGACCTTGATTAGACTTGTTTATGTAGAGGTGCCCGGAAAAATGATATCCTTATCTTATTAGAATGTTAATTATGTAAGGAACAATATGTATTACAAAGTAATCCTTGGACAATATTTTAAAAAGAACTATAGTGATAATGGAGCTGAAATAGTAATAATAGAAATCTTGGTATGGATAAGCAATCATTTACATGCTTATATGTAGTCTCCATTCTTAAATTAACCATACATTTTAATTACAAAATGAATAGCAACTGGTAACTTATAATCGTATATTTCAATTTCCATAACTTGAAACTATTTTCATATGTAAGGCATTAAAAGTTCTACTTGCAGAGTTCATCATAACTTTTTATACAGGCCTAATTTTTATTCTGTAATCTAAGATTCACCCACAAGAAGCAGAAAATATTTTATTGCCATTCTAAGTTACATCAGAAATGTTTATGAAGGATTAAAAGTAATATCCAATATATGCTAATGATAGCCTTTTCTTATGATGCAGCAGTATTGTAGAGATGATGGAGGGGAGCCAAGTATGGAGAGAAGTAGTCCTTTGTTTCTGGTTTAGATTTGTCTGGTGGTAGAGGATCCACAGATGTTCCTCATTTAAAATTGACCATTGTTCTAGGTGAAAGGCAAGGAGCCTATTTTGTGGGAAAACAGGTTTTTGCACATTAAAAGTCACCATTAGCACTTCAATAAGGGTTAAGGAACTTTGCCACAGGAGTTCTTTTGAGGTCATTTTAATAATACATTGACATTGAATTCCAAGTAAGTTTTACTCTGTCTAATCTTCTACCTTCTAAATCATGGCCATGACAACATTTCATGAATATAAATTATTAACACGTTGGTAGTTTCCACTGGGGAAGCTAATAATTGTTGCCTGAATAGACTTAACAGAGAAGAAAAACAAGGGCCGACCGAGTGGCGCGATGGTTAAGAACTCGCTTGGGATGCCAGAGGGCCCTGGTTCGGATCCCACATATGAGGGCCAGTGACACTGCCCTCCACAGCTAAGATGCTGAACAACAGCTCAACCTGG